AAGCGCGGCCGTTACCCACGCACAGCGGCACAGGCACCGCCACTTCTGGGGGACTGTGACCCCTGAGGCACACGGCTGCTGGGGGTGCGGCCTGGCCAGGTCGCTAGAAAAGGGGCACGCGCTGCCCATAGTAAGTACTAAAAGACAACACATTTGTAAAACCCTTTTCTCTTTTATATTAATAAATATTGCATACTGAACTGCTGGCTTTAGCATGCCAGCCATCTGCAAACTTACCTCCCAGGACAGCACCTCCAAACTGTCTTTTTTTCTGTTGTATTTCAGTTCATGTTGTTACAACTGCTGCGCACCTCAGTCAGTCCGTCTTCTTGCCTCTCTCTCTTCCCAGGCCAAAAGACTGGCGAGCACAAAGGCAGCAGCACCCTTCCTCTGCTTCCATAGTGGCAGGAGAGATCTGCCCCTCCTGGGGTTCAGCTGCACCTCTCTAGAACAAGGGGAAGAACAATCCCCTTTTGTTATGGGCAGGCGAAAACCCCGGCATGAGTCACAGAAACACAAATTTTACCTCCCTTCATTATGTATCTCCCAAAACAGGAAGGGAGTACCACAGGTGGTTCCTGTGTAGGTTCTTCAGCAATCTCCTGTCTAAGCTTTACCACAACTAGTGCTTCAGACTTCACTTTTCAGCTCGGCGTGGGTGAAAGGGCTACTACACTCTGAACATGGCCAACTGACTTTGAAAACCAGCATCATGAAATGCAGAGATGCAGGACAAGAGCACCAGATGCAGAAGTATTGCGAGGCTTTACTGCTTGATGTTGTACAGAGTCTGTTATCTTTAGAAGTCCTGATCTGACAGAGGCATTTCACAATATGAACTTACAATAGAAGAAACAAAGTGGACTTAAGTATTGCAAGTGATAAACGCATTCACACTTCATCAAAAAGGCAGAGCCTGCTGAAGGAAAAAGCTTAATAAGCAAAAGAAAAAAAAAGAAATAAACCCTGAATTTATGACAAAAAAAGACAAAACAAAACCCCTCACCCAGTCAGCTAGGTACAGACATAATGGAAATACAAGACGAAGAAACGAAAAGGAGTGCTAGCTCCCACAGCCACAACTTCTGAAGTATCTCCTCATCTCCCTACCGTACTGCACTTCCTTGCTGCTGAGAAGCAGAAAGTAGCTACAGTATGTGCTTCCTTGCCATAAAGAGAAGGTAGTTACAGTAGCCCACAGTCATTTCAGGAGTACAGAGAGTAAAAACTCAGTATGAGAATCCTTTCTTACAATCACTTTCTGCTTTCCAGTCCATCAAAGATGTGTGTTTAAATAAATAAATAAAGGATGAGGCTGTTGCTTCCACATGGTTGTAACTGCAAGAACAGGATTCATGTAGTCGTTGGTTGTCCTGAGCAGCTGCACAGCTATTTCCAAAGAGCGACACTACAGAAAATGAGCTCCAAGCTGCCACTCCACTTCCACAAAGAACACAGTTTCTTCCTCCCTTTCCATGCCAATATCAATTCTTACTTTTATCTAGCTACTCCTTCCAACACCTCACATTGCAACTACTCAGCATCACTTAAGCACTATGCAGGAGATGGTGCTATAGGAGATACTTGAGATAAGCAAGGAATCCTGTTTTAGTTTCCACTTGTCTAATGTTTCATTGTTGACATAACATTAATTTCAAAATAATCACAATTGGTACACTTGTTTCTCCAATATTCCCCATTTTTAACTGATGTTGATGCAATATAGATAGTATTTCTCTTAGCTAGTTCTTATTTTGTCAAAAAAATAGATTATTTAGATATTGAAATTTAGCTGACATTTGACTCTGGCTACTAATCAGTATCTTATCAGACTTCTCTCAAATCAAGGCATTTAACTGAATGTATTTATGAACAAAAAACACGGAACATTTTGAAGTAACAGACAAAAATAAGTTGTTATTTACAAGTAATATATATAATAAAACTACTACTGTGATAGGCCTTTATACATTGTAACTGCAGTCAATTTTTGCATTGTTTAAAAAAATTTCCTTAAACAGAAATTGTTCAGAATTATCAGTCTGTCCATACACATGTATGTTATGAGAAATACAACAGCTTTTCACATTTTAAAAATATCAGCGTAATTTACATTTTTTCCCCCTAATATCAAGTGAAGATTTAAAAATGGTGCAAATTGAAATGCAAAGACAAGTAGCTATGAATGCCGAAATACAATCAATTTGGAACATATTAGTGTTTCAAACTATAAACCTGTGAGAAAATCCCTAATATTTGGCATGATCCCCTCACCACCCAACCTCAAAAGGTCAAAGCAAGATAGTATTTTTAAGTAACAGTGATTATTGCATATTATATCTTTGGAAAAGCAGAGTTTTAACCAAAAATATTTTAAATGTAGTTGAAATATAGACCTATTTATCTCAAGGAGGAAAGAAGAGTGGAACACATGATCAGAAATGTTAGCAAATCAATCCAGTTAATTTGTTCCAACCTTGCTTTCAGTAATCCCCCATACCTCAGACAATCCCGTGGGGGGAATGGGTACTTCAGCAAGTGCAAGAGCAACAATCCAGTTCTACATGACCAACTTCTCACCCTGTAGAAGTCCTTTAAGAATCTTGGTCTTAACTTATATTAACACCTCATTTAAATGCTGACAGGTAAATTAACATATATTTCGAACTGATATAACAGGGAAACGTTTACCTTTTTTAAACCAGGATATACAAAAGACAATTTGCATAGTTACAATTCAAGCACAAAGTCACTGTAAATAGGTACAAAAGCATTTATAAATTTACTAAATTTGTTGCTGTTTGTGCCAGCCAAATCTTACATAGGTATGAATGTAAACTTGAAGGGATTGAGAACAGTCAGTGTTTTTGCTTAAAAAAATATGTAAAGAACGCTTTTTAAAGGTTTTTAAAAATATTTTCTGCAGCAGGAACAAACAGTTCAAACCCCAAAGAAAGCCATCCAAAATGCCCACATTTCTCCCATACAGCAGAGAAAGTTTGTTCATAGGTTTCAAACCTGCACACAAAATGAGGCACTGGTTACGCTATTTTGGAATGTGTCCATAACCCTAATATTTCAGTTCACTCCAGGACTTCCAAAACACTGTCAGCTTCTAACTTCCTAGGAAAACATATCTTCAGAAGGTGGTGCATAAGAAAATCCAACAAATGCATCATCTGCCTCTAGGACACTGGCATTAACAATGTTGTAATCAGAAGAAACGCAAACCGAGTATGGAACCATTTCTTCTGTAAACACTGCATCAAAATTCCCAATATCATCTGGTCCAACCTAGAGAACAGAAAGATCTGTCAGCTGCCATACTAATACTGTGTTTTAAACTTGTATTTGTCCTTGAGATTTCAAATTTAACTCTTGAGTCTATCTATTTTATTTCATTCTTTCCTATTTAAGTACAGGATATTTAGAGAGCCACGCCACAAAACAGTTATTAAAAGCCTGCTTGTTTCTTTTAGGCTGGAGTTCAGGCCAAAGCCTTTATGATCTGATAAACCTAAGAAATATGTAGAAATGTCTCTTTCTTAAAATGACCATTAGAGAGATGCAAAAACTAACAAACTCCCCCCACCCCCAAACCCCCCAAAACAATCAAACAAAAACCTAAAACCCACCAAAAAAATCCCCCGAACCACACCAAATTCTCTTTTACTCCTTTTCCATCGGTGTTAAATTCTAGCAACACTACTGTTGTTATGATAGATCAGCTTCCCAGTAACACACTTAAGAACTAAAGCACAGTAATATTTAATGACAGAGAGAAGAGAAAAGACAGCAAATGCATCTTCACCAAAGAGACACAGACTGAACAAAAGGCGATGCTCTGACACGACTTTAGGAAGGACTTTCATCCTCCATCTCAGATTTTTGGACAAGCAGTCACAGGCTGACATGGTTTAAACGGATGGAAGGATAAAGAAAACCTGCAACTAAGGCTTAGTAACTACAAAAAAGTGAGAAATCAGTCTTTTGGAAAGTCTTGAAATAAAGAAGCTATCTGTATTTTCTTCTCTGGTCTTCATACCCCACAGAAATTTACAGTGCTTTGACAGGAATGAGCAGAGGAAACAGTGATATGTCAAAGTGAGGTTGAAGTAAAAAGATAATATCACTGCTCAAAAGTGTGACTGCTCAAAGGCCAGCTGGCACCGGAGGGTTCCCATTCTGAAACCAGTATTTTTTGCAAATAGATGAGCCCTCAAAGGCAGAAATTTGATGGATATGAACTAAAACAGCACCAGGCACCTACCACATTAGGATTAAATGGTGGTGGAATCTTCTTCTGAAGGAGATCAGTCCAGCTGAGAGATTCAAAGAATGGGTGCTTTTGAATTTCAAGCTGCAGTAAGGAATAAAGATTTTAGATATTTCAGAAACCCACCCTGTGCATTATAGTAAATGCTACTTCAGACTGCATGCACATAAAGAAGTCAAATCCTTCATCAGTTTATTTATTCACGTTTTACTTTGCAATAAAAGCTGTAGTGAGTAAAAACAGCAATTAAAATTTGTTAGTTTGCCTCTACAAGCTGGTTTCCTTTTAAGATAATATTTTCTGCTTTTAAGCCTTTAAAATCAACCACCTTCAACAAGTCTACCACAGAGCAAGAATGGTTTCCCTCAATATCTCTGCTCCTGCCTCAAAGTTTTGTTACTTTTTGTAAAGCAGATGATTGCCTGAGAAGTGTTGGCTTCAACAACTCTGCATTATGCTTTCTAGTTACGAAGCAGCAAACAGCTGTGCTAAATGCTACCAGCCTTCTGTCTTGTTCCACACTGCGAGAAAGTACAATGTCACAGTCTCAATGCTCTGTTACAAGGTCAACTGACTACCTGACATTAAGGCTGCAAAGAGAAGACTAAGAAGATCTCACAATTAATGGACGGAAGTAGTCCTTCTAGATTATTCCTCACTGCACAGCTCTGAAGACATCTACACTTTCTCACACCACCTTCTTGCAAACAAGTGTTTGTTGTTGCACTGGGAAAACAATTGCCATGACTCTAAGGATTAAAAAAAGAGCTGCTGTTTGCATGGTACTAGTGTTCCTCTTTATCTGAGGACTGCTTTTGCTGTAGTTCGTTACCAGAAAACAGCCTTTTCTTTTGATTATTTCCCAGTTTCACTACGAACAGTGAAACCTACCTAGTGCACCTCAGTGACTACTACACCAGGAATTGTGTTTCCTTTGCTGGCAGGTACAGCAGCAGCCAAGCTCAAAATGTTTGTATCCCATTACAATCGTCTCTCTCCTATCCCAAATAACTTTCAGGGACTGACAACACTGGGGTCTTTAATGAAGAAATAAAAAGGAGGAAAGAGAAACAGACATAACAGAGTAATCTCTATCTCCAACCATTAAACCTGTGCTCTGCACATACATTTGTTGATGTCCCTTTAAGTGAAGTAGGGTTTAATAAATTAGGACATTACGTACAAAATCCTCCCTTGCTCCAAGTCTGCTTTGCCGATCCTTCTCCAAAAGTTCTTCCAGAATAGACCAGGCTGTTAGACTGATTCCTGGGCGCAAAACTAAGGGTTTATGTAGAATATTCTCATACATCTCGGCAACATCACGGCAGTAGAAAGGAGGCTGAAAAAATAATAAGAGTTATACATTAATTTGAAGCCACGTGCAAAATTTTTTTCACGCATACAGATCAGTAAATGATTGCATAAGAAAAACAAACTGCTAGCAGCGAGGAAATCTACCTCTTCTTATGCACTGCTCAGTTCTAATTCAATCACCAGTGCCAGATTTTTACACTTGATGGCTTCCGCACCCACCTCCTCCTCTCCTAACATGTTCTCACACTCATAAGTAGCCACAAATGCCATCCAGCTTCAAAGCTCCCACTGAACTTGCCTCTGCCCTATTTAAGGTCCTAGAGGAGGCGATAAAACTCAAGAAAACTAACAGAACAGACTGTTACTGGAGTGATTACCTATGACAAGAAGAAGTATAGTAAGATTTTTTTGTTTTAATGCTGCATCGAGAAGTGGAAATGCTAGGAGATACTCTGGGAGACCTAAGTAAAAGTCTTTTTAATTTCATTTATTCCAGAATTTGGCAAAATTCCACTTATAAGCTGTGGGTTTTTTATTGTGTATTATCACTGTTGATTCAGTTTACTCTAATATTCCCTCAAAGTGATGACTTGTCTGAAAAGTTGATGTCCAGCAGTTCACTGGAAACCAAAGTTTTAGACATCAAGACAATGCAAAATCCAAGGGAGGAAAAAAAACAGGTGCTACGTTAAGTATAAGGCAAACTGTTCATCTATTTAAGCGCAAAATTTTAGTATTTTGCAAAAGTTAGTATCTTTAACAACACTCAGGGTTACTTCACATAAAGGAGGAGGGGAAGCAACCCTTGCTCCCCACATATTAAGTACATACCAGCCCATAAAGCATTTCATAAAGAACTGCACCAAGGCACCACCAGTCTACTGTGTTGTCATAGGGCTGCTTTTTAATGACTTCTGGTGCAAGATACTAAAATAAAGAAAAAAAAATATTTTAGAGCATTAGGCTAGCAAGAATAAAACCTAGGTTTCAGTCACATCACAGTACATATCTTCAGGAAAAGTTGCTTCATAGCCATTGTGAGACTGCTAAGTATTTACCTTGTCCTTCAACAAACCTGGCAAATACTTCATCACCACCTGGTCATTTACGAGGTAGGACAGCTGTTTTTCCAACTGAAACAATACTTTCCCCACACTATTGTTTTGCCAAACTATTTTGCCACCTCTATTATGAAACTTTTTTTACATTTCAGATAGGTTGCTGCACTGTTGCAGAGGCTACATCTCTCAGCAAGGTGGCTACTAGCCATGCCTATTCTGCTATCCTTAGCCTGTATGCTCCCCATCCAGTACATAATGATGGAAGATCTTAAATCTGCTTCAAATCTATCATTACTGAGAAATTGTACGACCTATATTAAGTTTCACTGTAAATCTTGATGAGGACGAGTTGTGAGTTGCTAAATTTGAAATTCTTGTCACATAGGTATCACTTGACTGATTTGTGATAAACTTCTGATACCATCAAACACTGAATGACAATGCTAACTGGTTTCCATCTGCCCTGCAAGAAATCTACTCAATATTTTAGAGTTTACTAACACTACAGCACAAGGACAGCCACTTCATAATACGAAACTACACACAACAGAGAACTACTATGGCTGGATTATCATCATCTCAGCCCTCATCTACAGCACACAGTTTCTAAGCTCTCAAAACAAAAAGATGCTCACTTCTGTAACTCTAGTATCAAGTTCTGAAATTTAATTTACAAATAGACGACAGCATTATCAGACAAGGCACAGACTGAAATTCACACTTTAATTATATCAGTCTTTCTCAAACTTTCTATATATGTGAATGGCCTGTAATTCATTTGTCCATAGATGACCCTGCCAAAAGCACGAAAAGCAGCTGAAGTATTTTGAACTCAACTACTTAAGCTTTTTTTTAATCTTTCACAATCTCCTTTGAGCCTTTTAGGTGTTGGAACTTGCCAAGTCATTAAACTCAGTGTTCAGAAACACCAAAAAGATCATTACACTTTTAGCAGAATCATGAAAAATTTGAATCTAAACCTTGGATTAGAAAGGTTAATACACAACTGCTATGTTTAGTCTTGATGTTTTGTAAGAACTCATACAAAGCAACAGCATTAGCATCCTCGTACGTTGCAATTCATGCAAGTCCAAGGTAAATGTGAAGACTAAGCCTCTGAACGTGAGGAAAAAACCCACAGATTTTCTCAAACAGATCCAGAGTTACCAGTGTTCTAAATATTGTCCTTTGAACTTTCAAAAATATTCAACAAATATTGTTTCAGCTCACGTTTACCACTCAGCTTTATGGATTCCTACCCTGATTATAAATAAGATAAGCTATCACGTGTTGTCACCTGCTGTGGTTTTGGTTCGGTTCTTTTTTTTTTTTCTTGAGTTAAAATGTTTCAGCTAAATGTTGCTCCTCACTCACCCTTTACTACCTTCAAAAGCCTTTTCTCTAATTTAAAGTATGTTTATCAAATTATCAAAGCCACTAATCCTGGCATTTTAGTGAATCCCTCATGTGTTCAAGACTTCCAGATTCTGAGTTTTCCAGCCTAGTTTTCTTAGTAAAAAGAGACAACAGAGTTGAATAATCTCAGTCATCAAGTTCAGTTTCACACGCATGTAAAATCCGCTCAAGAATCATACATATTAAGTCCTTACAAACGTACTAAAAATCAGTAGCAGAATATGAGAAGTAGATTCATATTGGCAAATCTGTTGCAGCTGTTACACAGGCTAACTGTCCTATGTCTAGCCAGCAGTTAGGAGACATGGGAAGAACTGAATGTTTGAAAAGGGCTGAAAAAAAGGAGGGAGGGAGAGGTAAATTATGCAGATGTGAGTAGTAAGCAGGAGACACTGCATATTAGCAAAGGATAAAGAGCAGATCTGCAGGAAGCTCGTCTTTGGTTTGTCTCATGGAAGAGCTTGTTGAAATAATGCAAGTCTCCAGCAGCACAAAATGGAATATTCGATCTTCCAGTTACACAAATATTAATAGTCAACAGTCATTAATTACTAGCCAAAAAACCACAAAAGTTGTCAACATACTTCTGGTGTCCCACAAAAAGTTGCAGTGGTATCAGAACTTGCAATCCCTTCTTTACAAAGTCCAAAGTCCGTCAACACAACATGACCCTGTTTAAGGAAGAGTGGTATTTTAAAAACAGAACATGGTCAACATGAGGACACACACAAGTGTCAATTTTGTGAGAGAACACAGAAAATAAAAAATAATGTTGCATACTTACTAGTGAATCTAGGAGAATGTTTTCTGGTTTTAAATCCCTATTTAAAAAAAAAAAAATTGTATTAATTCAAAACAGCCATCACTATTACAAGAGCTTCAGAGGCAATGACTTTTATTCTTCAGCTGAAAGCTTCAAGTTTTGGTTAAATTGTTATGTTTGAGTTTCCCATAAAATTATTTCATGTAGTGGGTTTTATTCAGTAATTTGTCCTACTCTAAACTTCTGCAGGACAAGGATACATTTCAGAAACTTACCTGTACACTATATTTATGGAGTGTAAGTAGCCCAGTGCACTGGCTATTTCAGCAGCATAAAATCTGGCTCTGTGCTCAGGAAAGGAACGTTCTCTTTGTAAGTGAAAGAACAGCTGTAAATATGCAAATAGTAAATAAGAACATACACAAAAACACAGGTTAATAATGTGTAATTTTAACAGTAAAAAGTAATTTTGTTTAGCTGTCCACTTTATTTTTTTTAAATGTAAAATGGAATGTAATTTGTTTTGCTGCGTGACTTTGCCATTCCTTTACTCACTTGCTTTCATCTCTTTTGTAGCTCAGAAACAGATAGGCAACTCAAACAAAAACATTCCCCTAAAACCAAGACAAGTCAAAAGGAACTAAGTAAACCACTAAGCTGTTAACAGAGGTTGGCAAGATTAAATCAGGCAAGATAGCCTCCTAACAGAATATGAAATGGTGTCAAATAAGTAATCTATTTCTTTATAGGCTTGAATTCAATTGTATATAATATTTATAGAATTGTATGCTCAAATCACCTAGACGTAGATCACTTTGGGAGATGCATGTTCCAAGCTGATCCACAAATTCTCTCAACTACAGAGAGATGTCTGGCTTCAAATAGTTTGATGCAGAAGTCCAGCCAAAGATTAAGTCATAAATATACAGATGAAAATATACTACCCATTCAGCTTCTACAAATTATAAGAAAACAAATTTTCTGTTTTCTTCCTACAAAGTCTGGGAAAAATTTAAAGAGCCACCAAAGCTTTCCAAGCACTTCATTCAAATTTGAAAGTGTTTTCAACTGTATTTGTTTGCCTGCAAGAATGACAAAGAAAGCTGTGGCCAGGAATTCAGAGTAGAGCAAATGAGGAGCATTCTAATACCATCTCCATAAGATGACAGTTCATTAGACAAGAGAATGGCCCAT